ACCTATCAACAACAGAAACATTAGGCAGATGAAGTAATCGTGGCATGAAAGAAAATCTTACAAAGAGAGGCATGCTATCCAAAACACAGGACAAATCAGAAAGTTTGTTGGATGTTATCACTTTCAGCATATTAAATATTATTTAATATTTAATATTTGATGCCTAGAATTGATTTTCCTGTGCCCAAATGAGTTTCAGCTTTAAATATTAAATTAAAACATAAAAATAACTTGATTTCTGTGTATGGCTATATAAAAATGTAGAATATTATGATATATTTTTATGATAGAACTCATAAAATTTATATGTAAGGGAAAAATTTGTAAATGAAAATGAAGATAATATTTTTTTTAGGTTCTTACGAATATGAGAAAGAATAAATTGTTTGCAGTGTCAAATCCTAATGAAGAAAAGAAAATGCTGATTTAGGATAAAGTATTAACATGACTAGGAGACGTATATATGTGTTATATTGTCATATAAGGGAGTTGTTGTGGCCACCTGTATGAGAAGTTGTGTTTCCAACCCAGAGGCAGGTAGTTTGATTCCACTAGCCCCTCTGAGGGAGAAAGATGGACAGTCTCCAATCATGTTATATATAGCCACTGAAAATCTGCTGGAGCATTGGTTATGACTCAGTACTGATGCCACAGCAAAAAGAGGTTTTTTTTGGTCTTTCTAATCTCTTTACTTCCTAAAAGCCAATTCAGTGGACCAACCATTTCAATTGGTGTTGGTGTCAGTGATTAGCTATTATAATGTTTCTTTTCAAAGCACTTATTATGAATGGCCTAAGAAGTCCCACTGCCATCAAAGGCTGTATTTATTTGAACAGTATACAGAATTGACCCTCTGAAGGACAGTGGATAACAAGTTCAGATTAGTTACAATATTTGTCTAAGCATATTGTAGGTGAGAAACAGTACTGCATTGCAGATCACTTCCCAGGAGTAGAATTTTAAGTTGCATTGTGATATTTAAGGGTGTATTCCTTGGTAATATAAAACACAGATTTCTTAAATTATCAGATAATGTACCAAAAGTATCACATTATTTAAATAATTTCTAGAATTTTATTAGGTAAATTCTAAAATTATCCTATGAATATGGTATTTGTATGTTTTTAATATCACTAAGGAAATAACAATATACAGTTTAAGGGCTAGGAAGTTATGAATTTGAATCTTCAGGCACTGAATTATTGTGTGTAAGTGATTCTAGGTGTGTATCACAAGGCTCTAAAATTGAGAATTGTAACATATGTACACACTCCTTAAAAAGAGTCTGAAGAATTTGTTCTTCAATAAGTATTATCTCAATAAATATATTTTCAGTGCTTTTTTGTAACTTCCGTTTTGAGATGGAAGTGGAAAAATTAGCATTTGAGCTTTATGGTCCAATTATCTTTCCTCTGATTCCCTCAAAAAAGTACACTGAGTAAAAAAAAAAACAAGTGAAAAATGCACCCCTGGGCATTAGTAAGGCCAAGAATAGCCCATCAATGGAATAACTGTCAAGAGATGAGATAGCCTTAAAATACAGTATGCACTATTTCATTGTTAAGTAAACATTCTATGAAAAGTAGAAAACAATGCACAAAAATACAGATTATTACAATTAAGGTCACAAAATCAGTCATTCAAAGAAAGTCTCCCTGTGCGGCTGGCACACAGTAAGGGATCAACTGTATAGTTTTGTATTATTTACCAAGATTCACTACCCCTGTTTCCCTGGAAATTGGCATTAAAACAAACCAAGCCTAAACCTTACTTTGTGAGTTAGTAGGAAGGATCTGGATGAGTTATCTTTAATAGTATATTATAATGTCTCTCAACTCTGTCTTAAGAAGAAAGCTGACTCCTGGAACTTCCAGAAGTGGTGAGAAGGGCCAGCAGGTAGATAAATATTATTTGAAAATCATCCAAGAATTCTCAAGTCTTTTAATAACTTTCGCTAAAGGTCAGGACTCATCACATTGTGATGATTCCAAATCAGTGCCAAGAGAGTTGTCTTGATTATTTGTTAGCTTTTAAGAAGGGCCAGTTTAGAGTAAGGTGGTGGACATCCTAGGACCTATTTACCTTTTGTCAACCTTTGGTCATAAATTGTTAGTTTACACACTGGAATTAACACCCAAGAGACAGGCCAGGTCTGTTAGATTTCGTCATTTAGATTGTCAACAGTCTCTAAACAAAACATTCTCTAAACAATAATCTACAAATATTAGGTGTTTTGATTTTAATGTGTCAACCATTAGTAATTTTAAACTTTATCAAATAGTTTATATTTGTTTTGTTTTCTCATAATAGGCATGTGATTAAAAAATTTTATCATATATAATTTTCAAAAGTTAAATATTTATTTCCATTAAAGATAAGAAATTTGAGATGTTTAAATGTGTAAGTGCTTCATTTAGAAGTTTATGCTAAGTAAAATGCAGTGGGTTGCTGTCAAGTTGGAACCAATCCAGACCTAAGCCTCTAGTGGATTTTCAGAGACTAAATTGTGTGAGAGGAGATTGGCCGACTGTCTCTCAAGGAGCAGCTGGTGAATTCAAACCAGTAGTTTTTCCATCTTCTTCTCATGACTATTTCACATGAAAGCCTCAGAAAATCGTACTTATAATTTGTGGTTAGAATAATAATAACAACAATAGAAACAACTCTTGAAAAATGGAACACAAGATAATCTACAGTGAAAAAATGAAATTGGAGGATGTGTGAATGTTTGAACTCCTGTATGTGTATATGCCAATAAAAGTTTTTGACTCAGAAGAAGAATCATTAGTTGACAAGCACTACACACATAGTGCTCATACAGGAGATCTGGCAGCCTAGTGGTAAGGAACTGCCCTGCAATCCCAAAGGCACGCGGCTCTTATCTCCCAGTTGCTCCGCAGGAGGAGGATGGGCAGTCTCCTCCTGGAGGAATGACTGCCTCTGAAAATCTCCTGGAGCATCAGCTGCGGTTTGGTTCCTACTTGGATTTTTAAATGTAGAAACAACGAATCCATGTGTTTGCCCCTGCTTCTCTAAGCTTCTTTATTGTTGCATCTAAATGATACTAGAGATGAACAGTGGGTTGAGCCCAGGTGCTAGCATGCATTCAGGGTCCACAATAATGGCCAGAACAGACAAGATCCCTGCTCTTACAGAGCCTTCAGTGTGGGGACAGAGACAGACAATAATAAACAGGTTAAAACAGGTCGACATATGCCCAAAGCACAAAGGGAAGAAAGTCATTCAGAAAGCGTGTTTGTGGATTAGGACTTCTAGAGTTCCTCCAAGCTTTTCTTTAAAGAAGTTTATAGTCCTTGGTTTTAGTCCTATGTCCATGATCCACCTTGAGTTGGTGTTTGTGTATGGAGTGGGGTGTGGCCCTGGAGGACATTATGCTGAGTGAAGTATCTCAGGCACAAAAGGACAAATACTACGTAGTGCCACCATTGTAATACGGGACTGACATAGGAGTTGGGGGGGAGACTGAGAAAGATGGGATAATTTATGTATACTGCATTGAAACAGATGAGGGAGTGAACTGTTTAAAAGGGATATATGATTGGGTATTATTGTCATAACAGGAGTCCAGAATGAAGGCTGCATAGTGGAGTGGCCTTGAGGGGAGGGATTGTGTAACAATGAAAGAATTTTGCTTTTACTTTTCAAAACAAAGGCTGCATAGTGTAGTGGACTTAGGGGGAGTGATTTTGTAACAATGAAAGAATTTTTTTTTTAATTTTCAAAGAGAAGAACAAACTGGGAGGGGGAGGTTGGGCAGGGAGAGAAGTGCAACAATGAATGTATGGAAATCCAAAGTCTCTGTAAACTTTCATTAAAATGAATTAAAAAAAAAGTTCTTGGGCAAGGTCTCCCTAAGAATGACTTTAAACCTGAGATCCAATTGTAGTAAAGGAAACTGGTCATGTGATGAAAGAGTGTTTTAGCAGAGAAGACCACAAACAGAGAGGCAAGAAAGAGTTTGCTGTTTGAGGAGCAAAGAAATCAACTTAGTGACAGAGAAGAGTCAAAAGATGTAGTTACAGAAGAAGGGCAAGATTGCAAAAGGCTGTTCCATCCCTTGGTAAGAGGGTGAATCACATTGTAGATGCTGTGGGAAGTTAATGGAAAGCTTCTTGGGAGGAAGGAATAAGACCTCATTTCTATTTTTACTTTAGCTGCATATGTGGTTCCTGTGTGATGCACATTGTTAATCTAGTCTTGGGCTAATGGAATAATTGGTGTTTTGCGTCTACCAGGGACCAGTCCTTGGAAAAAGATACCATACTGGGAAAGCTAGAGAGTCAGAGAAAGAGAGAAAAACCTTGCACAAAGTGGATTGATTCAGTGACTGTTACAGTCGTCGTGAGCATGACAGAGATAGTACAAGTATTGCAGGACAGGGCAAGATAGAAAGATGTTATTTATAGAATTTCTGTGAGCTGTAGTCAACTCGATGGCACCTAATAGCAACAGACACCTTGGAAGAAAGACTTAATAATCAAAGAAAAACTACAAAAAAAAAAAAGTAGCCATTGAAAGCACTATGGAGCACAGCCCCACTCTGACATGTGTGAGGCTACCACATACTGAAGGCAACTGGACAGTGACTGATTTTTTAAGATAATTTAGCAGCACATTGAGAGTGAATTTTAGCAGACAGAGGGGAAAATGGGGACTCCAAGTTAAAGATTGTAGCAATGATCTGATGCACTCTTACAAATGGAGATAACTGACTGGATTCAAGATATGGTGAAGATGGAACCAACAGGATTTGGAAAATACTTTGACTGCAGTCAGGGAGAACCAGACCAAGAGGCAAATACCAG